AAAATTCTTCCAACCAAAAAAAGCTCAGGACCAGATGGTCTCAGCTCAGAATTCAACAAGATTTTCAAAGAAGAACTAATACTAAAACTCCTTTAATTATGCCACATGATAGAAACAGAAGGAACATTGCCAAAGTCTTTTTATGAGACTACAATTACCATAATACTAAACCACAGAAAGATATTACTAAGAAAGGGAATTACAGACCAGTCTCACTCATGAACACTGATGCCAAAATACTAAATAAATACTGGCAAATCAAATCCAAGAACACATCACTGTTTGCTGATGATATGATAGTTTACATAAGTGACCCCAAAAATTCTACCTAGGAACTTTTACAACTCATAAACACTTTCAGTAATGTAGCATGATATAAAATTAGCTAAAAATTACCTGTACACAGATGATAAAAGGATTGAGAAAGAAATCAGAGAAACATCACCCTTCACAATAGCCACAAATAGCACAAAATATCTCAGAGTAACTCTAACCAAACAAGTAGAAGACTTATATGACAAGAACTTTAAGTCTTTGAAGAAAGAAATTTAAGAAGACACCAGAAAGTGGGAAGATCTACCATGCTCTTAGGTAGGGAGAATTAACATAGTAAAAATGACAATCTTACCAAAAGAAATCTACAGATTCAATGAAATGCCCATCAAAATCCCAGCATAATTCTTCACAAACTTCAAAAGAATGGTACTCAACTTCATATGGAAAAGCAAAAAATACAGGCTAGCCAAAACAATCATGTACAATAAAAGAACTTTTGGAGGCATCACAATCCCTGACTCCAAACTCTACTACAGAGCAACAGTACTGAAAACAGCCTGGTGTTGGCATAAGAACACACAGATGGATGAATGGAACTGAACTGAAGACCTAGATATTAATCCACACACCTTCGAACACCTGATTTTTGACAAAGAAGCAAAAAATATCCAATGAAAAAAACATATTTAACAAATTGTTCTGGCATAACTAGATATCAACATGTAGAAGAATGAAAATAGACCCACATCTATCACCATGCACAGAACTCAAGTCCAAATAGATCAAAGACCTCAACATAAAGCCAGCCACACTAAACCTTATAGAAGAGAAAGTGGGAAGTACACTTGAATTCACTGGCACAGGAGACCATTTCCTAAGTGTAAGCCCAGCTGCACAGACACTGACAGAAACAACTAATAAATGGGACCTCCTGAAACTAAAAAGCTTCTGTAAAGCAAAGGACGTGGTCAACAAGACAAAATGACAGCCTACAGAATGGGAAAAGATCTTCACTAACCCCACATCAAACAGAGGTCTGATCTCTAAAATATACAAAGTTCTCAAGAAATTGGTCATCAAAAGAACAAATAATCCAATTTAAAAAATGAAATACAGATCTAAACAGAGAACTTTCAACAGAGGAATCTAAAATAGCTGAAAGATACTTAGGGAAATGTTCAACATCCTTAGGCATCAGAGAAATGCAAATCAAAACAACTTTAAATTTCCATCTTACACCCGTAATAATGGCCAAGATCAAAAACATTGATGAAAACTTATGTTGGAGAGGTTGAAAGGTAAAAGGAACACTTTTGCATTGCTGGTGGGAGTTTTAGCTGGTACAGCCTCTTTGGATGTCAGTGTGGTTATTTCTCAGAAAATTAGAAAACAACCTTCCTCAAGACTCAGTAATACCACTTTTGGGTATTTATCCAAAGGATGCTCAATCATGCCACAAGGACATGTGCTCAACTCTGTTCATAGCAGCTCTGTTTGTCATAACCAGAACCTGCAAACAACCTATATTCCCCTCGACCGAAGAATAGATAAGGAAAATGTGGTACATTTACATAACAACAGAAAAAAATAATGACATCTTGAATTTTGCAGGCAAATGGATGAAGCTAGAAAACATCATTTTGAGTGAGGTAACCCAGACCCAGAAAGACGAACATCACATGTACACACTCATAAGTGGTTTTTAAACATAAAGTAAAGAAAACCAGCCCACAAATTACAATCCCAGAGAACCTAGACAACAATGAGAACTCTACGAGAGACAAACATAGATCGAATCTATATGGTAAGTAGAAAAAGACAAGATCTCCTGAGTAAATTGGGAGCATGGGGACCTTTGGAGAGGGTTGAAGGGGAAGAGAGAGGCAAGGAGGGGAGCAGAGAAGAATGTAGAGCTCAATAAAAATCAATAAAAAACTTCAAATTACTAAGTTGTGTTTTTTAACTATTTTAGACATTTTATATTTTTCAAAAACTTCACTTAGGTTTTAAAGATTTTATAATTAAAAATAAACTTCAGCTAGGCAAGATAGTTTAAGCCTTTAATCCCAGCACTTGGATGACCAAAGCAGCTGGGTCTCTAAGAGTTCCAGGCCAGCAAACACTACACGTGACCTTGTCTCAAAAATACAAAACAAATCAAAAAAGAAAAAACTATAATCGCCGGCAAAAGTTGGGAGCACGGGGGTGGGGGTGGGGTGGAGGTAAGGGGAGATGAGGAGAGAGAAGGGAGAAGGGGAGGATTGGGAAGAGTTTGGGGGAATCGAATGGTTGAGATGGAGGAAGGGTGGATATGGGGGCAGGGAAGTAGATATCTTAATTAAGGGAGCCATTTTCGGGTTGGCAAGAGACTTGGCTCTAGAGGGGTTCCAGGTATCCAAGGAGATGTCCCCAGCTAGGTCCTTGGGCAGCAGAGGAGAGGGTGACTGAACTGGCCTTAACCCATAGTCACACTGATGAATATCTTGAATATCACCATAGAACCTTCATCTGGCGATGGATGGAAATAGAGACAGAGACCCACACTGGAGCACTGGACTAAGCTCCCAAGGTCCAGATGAAGAATAGAAGGAGGGAGAACATAAACAAGGAAGTCAGGACCGTGACGGGTGTGTTCACCCACGGAGAAGGTGTGACTGATCTAATGGGGGCTCACCAAGGCCAGCTGGACTGGGAGTGATGGAGCATGTAATCAGACAGGACTCTCTGAGTGTGGCTGACAATGAGGGCTGACTGAGAAGCCAATGATAATGGCACTGGGTTTTGATTCTACTGCATGTATTGACTGGCTTTTTGGGAGCCTAGTCTGTTTGGATGCATACCTTCCTAGACCTGGATGGAGGGGGGACAGCCTTGGACTTCCCACAGGGCAGGGCACCCTGACTTCTCTTAGGAGTGGAGAGGGAATGGGAGGAGTAGTGGGGAAGGAAGAGGGAAATGGGAGGAGGTGGAAATTTTTAATAAATAAATAAATTTAAAAAATCAATTTTAAAAAATACAATTTTGAACTTACAGAAAATGTTCTAGAGGGCAGTAGAGACATAGTTCTTTGGTTGATAGTACTGGTTGCTCTTCCAGATGGCCTGAGTTCAAATCCCAGCATGAGTTCACAACTGCCTGCTAACTCTAGCTCCAGGGATAACCGACACTTCTGGCCTTCAAGAGCACCTGCACTAATGTGCATATACTCACATGCACACACACACACACACACACACACACACACACATACACACCTAAAAATAATTTTGAAGTAAATAAGTTTAAAAATAAATATATATTTAACATAACTAATTTGGTATAGTTAGATATGTATGTTTCTTATGAAATTATCAGTATAACCTATATAATAAACATATCTGATTTCTCTTAGTTTCCTTGTACTGCCTTCATTTCCTGTTGCTACATATTTTGTAATAACATGATGTCCTCAGTTCAATTCCTAGGAACTGCATGGTGGCTCACAAAAATCTCTAGTGGTATCTGATGCCCTCTTCTGGCATAAAATCATGCATGCATATAGAGTGCATAAATAAATAAATCTTTAAAAAAAACAAGTAACAAATAACAAGATGTTGATATCTACTCTCTAGGAAAATATTCTATGAAATGGGGTCTCACTTAGTTGTTCATGCTGGGTTTGAACTCATGACCTAACGAGACACTTTGACTTCAGTGCCTTGAGTAAGATGGTACTATGTATGTACGACCAACTATGATTGCAGTTGTCTAATAACACTAAACCCTTTTGCCAACCATACAATGTATTTCTAGAACTTATTTACTTTACGCAAAGTGAATTTTTACACTGTTGTTAACCACTGAATGAGTCGGACACTATTGCAAGAAAGCTTCTGTATTAAAATACCTTCAAAGTGTCTTTCCTGCACAAAAGTAAACTTTTGAGATTGTTGAGCATGCCCAAAGTCTCTCCTGCCTCTCTTTCATAATATGGTCTGAGAATCCCCAGTTTCCTGTCTGCTATGTATGTATGGTTCATGCCAAGTAAGCTTGCTTAGAGGTGTTTCTCTTTTTGACAGAGACCACATTTTTTATTGTTTTTATTGAGCTATACATTTTTCTCCACTCCTCTCTTTTCCTCCCCTCTTCCCTTCTACGCTCTCCTGTAACTCCACCTCCCAATTTACTCAGGAGATCTTGTCTTTTTCTCCTTCATATGTAGATCCATGTATGTCTCTCTTAGGGTCCTCTTTGTTGTCTAGATCTCCTGGGGTTATGGACTGTAGGTTGGTTTTCCTTTGCTTTATGTCTAAAAGCCACTTATGAGTGAGTACATATGATATTTGTCTTTCTTGGTCTGATTTTTTCTAGATCCATCCATTTGCCTGCAAATTTCAAGATGTCGTTATTTTTTACTGTTGTGTGGTACTCCATTGTGCAAATATACCACAGCTTCTTTATCCATTATTTAGTTGAGGGGCATCTAGGTTGTTTCCAGGTTGACAGAGACCATATTAATGACACACACTGAGCATGTCTACATGTAGGCTGTCTTCCATTATTATTGTGCTGCAAGGTGACTATGTCCCAAAGAGCTTATGATGACTGTTGCAGATTTTGAGTCATATGTTCCATTCCATGATCTTCTTGGGCTGCCCAAAACATATGTACAATCTTCTTTTCTTATATTCTGTCCTTACATAAAGAAGTTTCATACTCCTAAAGTTGTTTTTGACATGAGAATGTATGGGCTCCCTGCATAAAATCCTATGCCTCCTTTCTTCAAAAACCACTTGCTCTCCTCATTTGCTGTGTACAATAAGCCCATTTTCACTCTTTCATTTTCTGACGGTTTGTTTTTGGATTTCCACCTACTTAATGTGACTCAGTTAGAAATGGATGGGTCAGATCAAATGTTCTGCTGAAAATAACAGGGCTTTTTGCTATTAACTCCCAACAGGAGAAGGCACAAAGAAAGGCATTCTGCACTTTGTTGACACTCTGCACTGATGGAAATGGGTCTTGAGGTGAAATGCTCTCCAGTTTTATCTGTTAATAAGTTCATGTGCTGACATCTATTTAGGCTGCTGCCATTACTTGGTGATTGTAGGTATGAATTTCACAAACATGAGCACGCTTGCAATCTTGACATCAGTATGTTTGCATAAGAACCTAGATAGAAAGTACAAAATTTTTAGGTAGCTCCATTTTGAATTTATTTATTTTACTAATTTTGTTAAATATTTGTCCATACAAGAGGACAGGTTTCAAAATAATAGTTTTTATCAGTGTACTTTGCTCATAGTCCTCTGTTAGGTTATCCTCACTTCCCCTCTCCAGTGTGTGAGTTCCCTTTTTCTGTCTAAATATAACCGTTAAGGTCTCATTTCCTTCTCTGGCTATGTGAGACCTAAAAAAGCAGAATTCCAAGGGTCACCAGAACCAAAACAGCAAAAGTGATCCGGATGAGATTCTCCACCCTGTGATCCTGGGAACTGTACAAAGAAATTACAACAAAGGAAGGTCAGAGGAAACATGTATGCTCACACAGGGCACATGCCTCCTATGGACAAGACTGTACCTTCTGTATCTATTTCCATATCTAAGGCTTCTCCTTGGTCAGGTGTTTCAGTGTCTGATTTGTTCTGTAATGGGCTAAACTGTTCCCAGGAAATAAAGAAGCAGAAGAGCATATTTATCCTGATGAGATGCAATGTTCCCCTGAGGACCATTTATGTCTTATTTTTATGACTTAAGATAGACTATCATTTATTTTATGTGCATTGGTGCTTTGCCTGCGTGTATGTCTGTATGAGGATGTTGGATCCCCTGGAACTGAAGTTACAGACAGTTGAGAGACATCATGTGGGTGTTGGAAATAAAACTGGGTCCTCTGGGAGAGCAGCCAGTGTTCTTTTTTATTTGTTTATTTTGCATATCCACCACAGTTCCTCTCTCTCTTCTACACCTATTCCCTCCCCTTACCTCCCTTCTACACCCCCATCCACTCCTCCTCCATCTCCAGCCAGAGATACATAGAGAGACCCTGTCTTACAATTTAAAAAAGCACTTTCTCCCTTCCTTTCTTCCTCCCCCCTCCCCCCGGCTGCTGTGTG